AGACTATCATCAATGAGAGTTGATGTTGCATAACTTCTAGATGGTGTCTTTAGTAGTTTATATGTGATAATGGATTCAAGTTCCCTTGCCAACTATAGAGCTTCCTTTAAAGATGGCCCGGCATGGCCAGGTGGTTAGGGCGCTCGACTCGCAATCTGCGGGTCGCTGGTTCGAATCCCCGTTACACCAAACATGCTCACCCTTTCAGCCGTGGGGGCGTTATAATGTGACAATCAATCCCACAATTCGTTGGTAAAAGAGTAGCCCAAGAGTTAGCGGTGGGTGGTGATGACTAGCTGCCTTCCCTCTAGTCTTACACTGCTAAATTAGGGACGGCTAGCGCGGATGGCCCTCGTGTAGCTTTGCGCGAAATTCAAAAACAAACAAACAAATAAACCTTTCAAGATATACTTTTCGTTTGCTTCAACCTAATTTACATATCCTTGTTTACCAATGAATCCATCATTTCACGTGGAGCATCTCGGTATGATAACTGGACAAGCCTTTCTAGATCTTCTGTAACTTTGATTAAGGTTTCCTCTTTCCCTAGGTTCTTCTTTCTAGTGTGTCACTTTGAATCTTTTGGAAAGGACAGGTATCAATGCTTGATAGTTGTTGAAGCTCTCAGGTGGAAGGTTGCTTAATGTTATTAAAGCTGGTCTTTTTAAATATGCAGCAAAAATAATAGCTTGTTGTTCGCTATTCGACTCATCCACTTCGAAAATTATTTCGCATTCAACCAGATATGCCTCCCATTGTACTTTACCATCATATTCCATTAGTTTCTTAATCAGACAATGTTCTTGATCTGGACAACTAAAGTCTGGTACTAGATTTAGTAGTGGCATAACTGTATAGTTCTAGAAGGTCTTGCAGTCACAGATGGCACAACAGTAGTGGTCATAGGCGTAGACCAAATAGATTCTAAGTTCCATATTTTGTAATAAATGACTTTTTAGGTTAGAATTCTTGGACATATACAAAAAAAGGGTGTAGCTGGTTTAATCTTTACATTTAATATTTATTTTCCAAATGTTTTATTCTGTTACTGATGGGTTTTCCCACTTCATTAATCTTAATGTCATAATATTTCTGTACCTCATAAAAGTCTTTCTGTACTTTATTTCAATGATGTCCTTTTGTACTTGACTTTTGACTTTCTCAGTGTACTTATGCACTTCTTCAATCTTGTTTTCATAACCCCTCTGAACATTTTCAAAAGCTTCATCAATCTTGAGTATTTGAAAATATATGCGATAACTAATGCCGGCCACAATCCTTCACTAACTTCAAAATTATTTAGGGCCTGGCATGTCCTGATGGTTAGAGCGTTCGAATCGCAATTTGCGGGCCACGGGTTCGAATCCTCTTCTTCAAGCATGCTCGCTCTTTCAGCGATGTGGGCGTTATAGCGTGACTGACAATCAATCCCATTATTCGTTGATATAAGAGTAGTTCAAGAGTTGGCGGTGGGTGGTGTTGACTAGCTGCCTTTCATCTAGTCTATCGCTGCTAAATTAGGGACGGCTACTGCAGATAATCCTCGAGTAGCAAAGATAATAGTAATTTAGGTAAGTTTTCATAATTCATAAATTGTCAAGAAACAGATAATGAAAAGCGTATATTACAAATTCAAAACCCTACAATTAACAAAAGCACAATCGTACAGTGTTTGCTTTATTACATTTTTAGAGCTCGCAATTATGATTGGAGTATATTACTTGACGTCATTACTACAGTGTCGTCTTTTTTTTTAGGTATATTGTTTTTTAATGGTTTGCCATTATTAGACGTATAAACTGTAACTTTTTAAGTATAATCTTTCTTTTTGCATACTTTTGGTAACTACGCGTGTTATTTGATAAAACTTATCATTCAACATTGTGTTGATAGTTACAGATAGATACAGAAAAACAGCGTGACTCTGACGTAATGATAAAGGATTTGTGCTAAATCATCATAGTACACTGTCGTCAGGCGCGTGATACGTCGAAAAACTCGAGGAAATTAATACGAAATTAGCAATTGGAGACAACATCAAAGGAAAGAATGTTTGGATTCCAACGAGCCATGGGATGTGTGAAGTTTATATAGTTAATTTAGTTGATTTTCATTTTTGGAGCAAGACGTCGTAACGTGTATATCAACGTATTCACAGCCAAAGGTATGAATCATCATTACTGATACCTTAGTTACGGTGGTGTTACCCCTACTTCGATAGGGCGGCATAACTCTACGCAATAAAAATTATTTACTATTTCAGTTATAATTTCATATATTAAATAATAGCTTCCGATAACAGCAAGCTACGTCTTGAAAGCTAAACTAAAAATTAGCTTGGCTATCAGTATAGTATTAGATATAAGTTTCTTTCGTTTCTACTTATAAGGATTAGAATACTCTGTTTCATCATTTGGATACGCATGCTATTAACAATACTTTCGGCCGTAATCCCAAAAATATATCAAGAGGTACGGCCAACGTAGGAGACTAAGATTAGTCTTAAATACAAATTCTAAGCTAACTGTGCCAATCAATCTTTATAAAATAAAACTAATTATATTCCGTTTGGTGGGACGGGGATTCTGACCTATGACCCTCAGATTGCGAGTCAAGCACCTTAACCACCTGCCCATTAAAGTAACAATAAATAAATAAAACGGCAAACTCTAGTTGTGTATTTCTTTACAAACTAACTTTCCCTAACAACCAAAGAAACTGTACGTCTCCCTTAATATTTAACTTGTTAAGTGTGACAGTTAATGTCAGATGTTTTGTAAAAGTCGAGTCAGGTTGGATTCATCAACTTTCTCAAGGCATAAACAAACTCAATGCCCATGAAGGCACTAAAACAATAAATAAATAAATAATTATAAAATTATATAACAAGGTTAAAATGTAACAAGAAGGAAACAACTAGTCAAATGTGATATGTAGCCTTTCTAAAAACGTATAACATCACTTCTCCCCCCCCTCTCACTCGTGTATTCTTAGAGTAGTACATTGCGTGATGTGACAGGTTTATTTGTTTGTTTGTTTTTGAATTTCGCGCAAAGCTACACGAGGGCTATCTGCGCTAGGCGTCTCTAATTTAGAAGTGTAAGACTAGAGGGAAGGCAGCTAGTCATCACCACCCACTGCCAACTCTTGGGCTACTCTTTTACCAACGAATAGTGAGATTGACCGTCACATTATAACGCCCACACGGCTGAAAGAGCGAGCATGTTTGGTGTGACAGGTAAACTAAATATAACCAATTTAACTAAACTAATGTAACGGTAAACTTAGCTGATAATCACGAACAACGATAGTGGTTCATAGTAGGGATCGCAAGGAATTGCACAAAACCCTAATAGAACGTTCGGGCAACAATCATCTTAAACAGTACAGATTCAGTTCAAACAATACTTTAAAACCTTTATTATTGACTGCTAAGGCTGCACACATATAAAAATTCACAAAACTGTATGCATGTTAGATTTACAAGGAAAAGAAAATCCGCTCAAAACGGCCCGGTTCGTTTGTAATTGTTATCATTATTCTCTATCCAGCTTACAATACAAAAAGCTAGGTATATTGTACCCAAACCCTTTGTAGGATACTATATAAAGTACTGTGAATGTCGTAGGGGTATAGAAAAGTCGATTTGTTTCTTTTGTATTTTACATAAGCTAAACAAATCTCACAATTATAGTATAAACGATGTTATCATTAACCCTTGAAGTTAGCTTTCTTAAACATATCTGGGGTTCCTTTAAACAGCCTAAGTACAGGGTAAAACAAGAATTACCAGCCAATAATAGATGAACATTGGATGATTGTAACATGTAGATCCTCAATGCTTTGTACACTATACAATCTGTGTCTTTAGGCAGCCGACCCCTATATTAGTGTATGAAGTTAAGTGTAAAAAATATCAATACACATAATATTAAATTTTACTACACATATTCGTAGAATAATTACTTTATAAGACACGAAGGTTTATTTAAAGTGATGCTTTAATCGTATATTTTATTTGAAAAGGCTGCTTTTCTACTGATAAAATTTTATAGGCGCTTAGTGGGGATTTCGGTGGCCCACTCAGAATTCACGTGTGGCCCCTTAGAAACATGACGTGGTCCATATGGCCCACGTTGGGAACCACTGGTTTAGAATATTCGTATTTTGGAATAAATATTTATAAAATGTTATTTATATAAAATTTATACTGTGTAGAAATGCCCCTAACCACAGGTTCTAATTCAGTTTAATCCTTCTGTCAATAAGGTGAACCTTATCCTTATGTTCATTAGCGGTTGTTGTTTGGGGTTTAAGTGATAACAAATAGTAAGTAATAGGTAGTCTATATAGGTCATCAAATCTGATAACACATGTATTTATGTTCGATTGAACAAAGGGAAGGTGTTTCGATAGACCCCTCCCCCAAGATAACGCGCAAACATTTTAGGTCACTTGTTTGATAAACTTCTAGTAGGTGTCGTAATAAAATATTTTGTGTTTTAGCCTTATTTGTTCTATGTTTACGCCCATTACTATGTGAGTGATGTCAACCATAAGTCTCGTATGTATTTCTGTTGTTTACTTGTATCAGTGTATCTTTATATAAGTTAGGACTAGACGTGACCTAATGATTGGCGTAACGAACTCACAAAATATTTTCACCTTACTGCATCTTGGCAAGTGATTTGTTAATGACAACAACTAAATTTCCAGAGCTGTAAGTATGTAAAACATACTACAGCTGATAGATCCAGTGCTGACGAGGCTTTTCGCCAATACCAGAGCTCCTCAGGCCGTCTGGGATACAACAGATATAGTAGTCTCGTCTAGGTGACGTTGGATATGTCAGCTGTTTGTTTGTTTGACATACTTACAATTCTGGAAATTTAGTTGTTGTCATTAACAAATCACTTGCCAATATGCAGTAGGCCTGTAGGGTAAAAGATATTTCATGAATTCAATACGCCCAGTCCAAACAATAAAGCAATTTTCATGAACAACAACTGTTATGGTATGAACCAGATTAAGCAAGGGAATTTTAATTATTACCAATTTTATTTTTAGTCATTTACAAATCAGATTTTTACAGTAAGAATTAATAACATTATTTATTACACTACTAATTTTAACACCGCCTATGTATTTATAATTATTATTATTATTTAGTTTACGCAGTGAAACTAAGACTAATTTGGAATATTAAATACATTTTCATTCATAATAAATGAAAATAATTATGAGAGACATTCTTGAATAAATAGAATAAATGAATAGTGTATTTAAGTGTTTTACACTCACAAAAAAGAAACCTATCATTCTATAGGTATTTGAGGCTTGGTTTGGTCTCATATTTCCTTGGTAGTAGTGTCCAGGGGTCACTGATGAGGAGTGGAATTCTCCGAAACTAGTCTGGTTCACAATGAAAGAATAGACCATTCCAAGCTTTTACTTGTTGTTAAACAAATGTTTAAACAACTCTATTTATTCAATTATGTACAAGCTGCCCAGTGTCGGCTAACAATACGAAGAATTGTGGCGAAATGCTAAGTTCTTCAAATACCTATAGAATGATAAGTTTCTTTTGTGAGTGTAAAACACTTACATACACCAGTTCGAAACAAACAAACCATTCTTAATCATATGACGCCATCTGTCATTTGAAAATATAAATTTTTAAGGCTTTCATTCGGTATTTCCTCTTATTTCTGCTGTGCAAACGTCTAGAACATTCCAAGAATAGTTGGCTTATATTTGCAACTATATTTCAAAATGTTTCAGTTACATTAGTATCAAACTTGAAAATGTCCTTTTCACAATTTTTGTATCGCCAGCCCCTTCCTGCTTTTCCAAATACATCTTATTTAGCTAAACAATATGTTTTGGATCATTATTCTGCTGAAATTCAGAGTCTGAGCCAATTTAAAGTCTTCCACTGAGTATTGTGTGGAGAACAAGGATGTTGTGTATAATTCCTTTTTCACAGTATCTCCTGCTCCTAGGACAGAGAAAAATTCTCACCACCATATTTCAGAGTTTTACTTACACACTCTTGCTTAAAATTCTCCCTCCTAGTTCCAACTCCTGGCAAAAGCTCTCATTGTGTTTCGTCAGTGTGTAGTACATTAACCCACTCGTTATTCCAATGTCTAAGATCCCTTGCAAGCTTTAAACATTTGACCATGTGCATACATAAAATATTAAGCTTTTAGCTGCAAATTTCACATGTAGATCATGTTTTGTTTGTTTGCAACCGCCTTTGAATAGTTCTATTGGTGATTCTAACTCCATGTATAGGTTGTCTTTCCGCATATATTTCTTAGGATGTTTTCAATAGCTTGGTTTAGTTTAGTTTCGTTGTTGTTAAGCACATAGCTACACAATGGGCTACCTGTGCTCTGCCAACCAAGGGTATCGAAATCTAGTTTTTAGCGTCGTAATCCTGCAGACTTACCGCTGTGCCACTGGTAGAATTTTTCAAATGACTTCGTGTTGAAAAGTTTCGAAGAATGTTGCCCTCCAGTTTGGATATTGTGAAGTATGTATATTATAATAATAATCTTGATTTACACAACAGTTTTATATCGCAATATTAGTTTTTGTGTTTGTACTCAAACTTATAGCCGGTACTGTATATGTTTCCTATCTTAATGAAAGAAGTGTAGCATAACAACAAATTACATTAAATGTAACACATTTAATATGTGTACTATATAAAGTATTAGATATAATTATTGAAATAATTGGTTTGAGTATAAAATGAAAACATTACGGAATTATTCCTGCACTCTAGTATGCAAATGAAATGCACCAGAGTACAGCCACGTCTTAACACATTGCGGACTGGTCACGAGTCTACTCGTGTTTCGTGCAGAGCGTCTTTGTGTGCCATTTATTAAAACGTTGAGTTCGAAAAGAGTCGGACGCGTTTTATTTTGTTCCGGACAGTTATTATTTTTCTTATTTTTACTTCCAATACCCATATTTTTTTATAAATGGCTTCTCGCAGAAAACGTAACGTGTTGAGTGAAGACGAGATAATTACTGAACTATTTGATGATAATTTGTCAGATCTTGCAAGTGAAGGTGGAGATTCTGATGTGAATGTGTTTGTGGATCATTCTGATAGTGACTCTAGCTAAAGTGCCGTTGTTAGAACTACAAAGATATGTAAAGTTGTTGTGTTCTCAACTGATTCTGAATCAGAAAGTGATGATGATTCTACAAATATTCCTGTTAGTGATTTGTTTTCCTGTTGTGATAATGATAATTGGTCAGAAATAGATATTCCACTGAACTTGAAAATGTTTGAAGGAAATCCAGGGGTCACTATAACTCCATCCGAAACCGAAAGTCTAATGTTTGGCAATGACTTGTTCGAAATGTTTTGTTTACCATAATCAAACTGCAGAGAAACATAAAATGTCATCTAAAGGATTTCAATGGTCTGAAGTTACACCTACGAGGAAATTCCTAGGCCTTATTCTACCAATGAGACAGACAAGGAAAGATAACTGGAAATATTATTAGTCAATAGATCCTCTTTTTATTAGCCCAATATTTTTGCAGACAATGAGCCGAAACAGATTTGGACATTTTGGCATTTCAATGATAATCAGAAAATGGATGAGTCCTCAGACAGGCTCTTCAAAATTCAACCAGTACTGGATTATTTCCTCGATAAATTCAGGACACTATACAAACCAAAGCAACAGTTGTCATTGGATGATGGCATGATTCCATGGAGAGGACGACTAAGATTCCAAACATACAACCCTGCAAAAATAGTAAAATATGGCCTGCAGGTGAGAATGGTGTGTGAGAGTGACACGGGTTGTATTTGTAACATGGAGATTTATACTGGTGAGGGAAAAAATTGAAAGATACTATTATTTCAGTTGTTGTTCCCAATCTTGGATTGTGGCACCACATTTACCAGGACAATTATTACAACAGTACTTCCATTGCAAACCTGTTTCTAGAACATAAAACAAGAGTCTGCGGAACAATCATAGTGAATAGAGGGTTGCTACCAAGCCTGAAGGCTGAAGTTTCAACAATGAAAAAAAGGTGAAACTGTTTTATGTAGAAAAGGTGATGTTCTCGTTTTCATATGGAAAGACAAGAAAGAAGTGAGAATGGTTTCAACCATCCATGACTCATCTGTTTCTACCACAGGAAAGAAAAATAGAACAAGTGGAAAAGAAATTTAAAAACCTGTGTGTGTTTTCCAATACAATGGCCACGTGAAAGGTGTTGATCATGCAAATCAGTATCTCTCATATTTCACCATTCTCAGGAAAACAGTGAAATGGAAAAAAATGGTTGTACTTTATCTAATACATTTCGGCCTTTTCAATTCATATATAATCCACAAAGCCCTGAATCAACAGAAAAAAAAATATATATAAGCAGTTCCTCCTCTCTATGGCAAGAGAATGGATTACTGACAAAGAGAAAGAAGGCTCACTGGAACTAGACAGGAACGAACCCGGTCCATCATTTGAAGGTACAAGCAGAGTCCCACATAAAGATCCCCCAGGAAGACTGTCTGGTGACATGAAGCAGCATAATCCTGTGTTCATTTCATCTACAGGAAAAAAGAAATTTCCTACCAGAGCCTGCAGAGTTTGTACTGCCCATGGGAAAAGAAGTGAAACGCGATACATATGGAAGATTTATGCAGTTCCACTCCATATAGGAAAATGTTTTACAAGATACCACAGTTTAAAAATTTACTACGTGTCTTCTTGTACATACTCTGCAAGTTTCAAATAAATAATAAAAAATATAGTTGAGTTATAGACAAAATAAAACGCGTCCGACTCCTTTCAAACTCAACGTTTTAATAAATGGCACACAAAGACGCTCTGCACAAAACACGAGTAAACTCATAATCCTTACGCAATGTGTTAACAGTTTTCACTGGCCAACAGTGCCACCCAAGCATACTACTCCTAAGGGTACAAGCAGTGATATTATATCCAGTAGTGGTGAATGCACTAATAGCTCCTAGGATAGAAACACCACATGAAAATCACGTAGAAATAAAAAATTTGGCTGATAAAGATTATTTATGCAACAGATTGAGGATAATATTGATGTTTTAGTAGGAACTGTAGGAAATTAAGAAGTAGGTGCGTGAAACTAGTACTGTTAACAATAGAAGCGGTAGAGAAAATACATTTCAAAACGTATTTGTTTTTCTTTTGTTATCTCTAAACATTACAGTTAATATGTGACTAATAATTATGTATCACATGCGTGTTTCCATAATTATT